CATCACACACCACTCATCACTCATCTTACACCACTCATCACTCATCACACACCACTCAGCTTACACCACTCATCGATATCGTGATCACACACCACTCATCTTACACCGCTCATCACACACCACTCGTCACACACCATTCATTACACCCCACTCATCTTACACCACTCATCACACACCACTCATCACACACCACTCATCTCACACCACTCATCAAACACCACTCATCTTACACCGCTCATCACACACCACTCATCACACACCACACGTCTTACACCGCTCATCACACGCCACTCGTCACACACCACTCGTCACACGCCACTCATCTCATTCACTTTTATCGTCCAGTCTCTTTCCGTTCTCAGTTCTTATCAATCTCCACTTCTCGTTGATAGTTCTTATAAGCTTGACATGTGGAGTTACCCGGCCCTTTTTTTGTCCTTCGGAAGTTAGGATATCGATTCCACTCCGCAAATCTATTGGCGGCCCTACTTGAAGTCCGGCTAGAGCGGCCGTGTGGCTGAGTCTAGCCCAACCACTAAACAGCTCTAAAAAGTCTATCTTGCCTTTAGTGATTGGTTGCCAATGGGACTCGGGGAAAGGAATGGAGAGAGGGTGAAACTTGTTCAGCGTCGGCGGTCGTTAGAATACCTGAAGCGTCTCGACCGTCAGACAGGTCGAGCGGGACGTCAACATCTTCAATCGGATTAAAATCCTTTCATATCTTTGAGACGTTGGTACGGACTCGAGTACCAAGATCAACGCCTGCCATTGAACCTTCTATATATGGTAAAAAGTTTACCTTTAACCCACTTACAACCCCGACTACCATCTGACATGATCTTGCTCTGTCTTCGGCCAAACAGTGAATCTTGTCACCTGAGAGAAAAGGGCCTGAAAATCGGCAGGTCTACGACCAAAAGCCAGGTCTAGTGGAGTGACCCGCCGTACGTAACGGACGGGTTCCTAGCTAGCAAGACGAGCCTGGCGAACCAACTGTCGATAAGTAACATCCGCTAGCGCGGGATCATCTGCCAAGGACTTCAACATCAATGAGACTTGTTTCTTGAATGTACAAACTGCAGCTTCTGCTCGATTAGGCCAAGGAGTTCCTGGCCCTAGCGCAAGTGGTTTCTACGATCATAAAAGTCTATCAGGCTGCATCACCTACCATCGTCTTGGGATTGATTTCATTGATAGGTCTCAAAGTATTCAAGAAACAAACTGATGGTTTCCTTGGCGTTCATGATATTAACCACATATGCTGTCGTCACGGACCTAGCACCGTCGAAGAGAAGTAGAAAAACCAGTTTCCCCTTACCACCTTCAACATCAACCATACCATGGTCCACACAAAAGTGAGTTCACCAAATGTTTCACTGCGCATACCAGAAACCTTAGCGCGAGTTGGTGCTCTTTTGGTTGTCTGGCATGTATCACAACTCTTCACCGCAGCGTCATACTGTTTAAGTTCTTCTTCTGAACTGATCAGTTGACACGTGGTGGTGTTTCAGGTGAAGTCGCGGTAATTCTGTGGGAGAACTTAGTTTCTCGTGGTTTCTTTTCAGTGCAATGGGCATGGTGATTGTTTTAGGTTTTATCTTCCCTGGTTCTTCCTTTTCTTCGACTTTTGGCTCCTCCGGCAAAGCTCGCCATCCGGCCTTGCCTCTTCATCGTCTTTCTCGACAATCTCGACATCAGGAGCGCGTTTAGAACTGCTGCTTGCAGTTCCGCTAGGGTGGAAGCCTACATCTGGCGCTTCCGTCAGAATCGTGTCAAAGCGAACCTTGTCATCTCCTGCTGTTCGAGGCTTCATCTTGATCATATGTCAAGTTGAAGGGGCATCCATAGATGATTTATCTGGCTTGGCCGGTAGTTCGGCCTTATCCTTTGTCTACTTGCAATTCTGGTTGTACGTATGAGGTCTGTGTTTGCCATCGCGCGCTGGACAAGTAATAGTAATAGCTGCAAAACAGTGAGACGGGTCCTGATTATTATAGCGAGCAAGGTCGAATACATTCAGTACTGCGTGGTCTGAAGTTGACACGGACAATGGAAAGTTCTTGAGACCAAACTTCTGGCGAGTAAGGAATTCTCCAGCTGCAGTATGGGCTAGTTTAACTCAGAGATTTCTCGTCTTCTGAACGCTGCACAAAATAGGCACTTACCTTTATCCAGAATGTCAGTGTAGTGGTCGAAACAGAACTTCCGTTGGAACGGGTGAAATGCATGACCAACCGCCGTATGATCACAGACGTTTCGCCGTTTGCGAACGTGAACATGCTTCGACTCGGCAGCAATTTGAACCAAATGAGATTTGGTTCTTGTTTCGAACATGCCTGCATCAAACGGTTGTCAGCATGTCTCGAACCCATCGACCTTGCGCATCCTGTGTCTAGGGTTACGAACGTCGGCTCTTGGTTGAGATCAATCACTGAACTGAGGAAAGATTGTTCAGAGTTTGTTCAGGCTGTGGCCTTTCTGTACATGTACCGAGCGCCTTAACCGTTAGACCGGTTGCGACGTCTTCTTCAAACGCGGGCAAAAGGTCATCTTGTCAACTTGTCGGTCCATCTTGTCCAACCACTCAAAGTGCTCTACGCAATATGAAGTGAAACTATCTTGCCATCCGACTGATTCCAATCGCATAATCACCTTGCCAAGAGGCGCTTTCTGCTGTTGTCGAAGTGGCAGAGGGATCTTCTGTCATAATGGCTTTTCCTTTCTTGCTCTTCCCTTTAGCCTTGCCTGCGAATTGCTGATCCTGGCCTTTGTTTCCTTTTCCGTAGTATGGCTGTTGCCATTGAGGTGTGCAGGGCTTACCGCCTTTCTTGCATTTTCCTTTAAGGAATGACGAGTCCGGATCTTCATACTCTTCGGCTGCGATAACTCTGTCCAGCCTTCTCCACGAGAGAATGGTCTTCATCATATAGTGCAAAAAGCCTTGTTCGCCTGACGTCTCATCTGTTGCCCAAAAGCCTTCTTCACCATCATGCGTTACTTCCGTGTAGTATGTACGACGACGACGGCGACCACTATAGGGCGGTGTTGAAGCTGTGGATCGCTGACGCTTGTTCTACATACGCAAAACAACTGAAGGAATTGTCCCTTCACTGCCTGATAATAATTGTTTTCCATGGGAATGTTGAGTGCGTTCAGAGCAGAAACAAGTCTTTCACATTGTTATTCGTCCAAATCTGCCTGCGCAATGAAAATCATGCCAATCAAATTCCCGGGTGAAGGGAATGCATCCTGATTTCCATTGTACGGCATCTCGTCGATCGGCTGCATCGAGCGCTGCAATCTCTGCGCGTTGTTCGGCTGTCAAGTGATTTCTGAACTCTACACTCTGTGGCGCTAGCAAATCTCTGTACAAATCCATCCAGGCGTTCTGCAAACGTCTCACGGTTATCTCAAAGAGTCCTATCCATGTCACCATTTCTGTTTCCGCGCCACTGCCTTGGTTATCTTTCATGAAAAAGGGACGCAATGTCCTTATCAGATAATACACCGGTGTCCGCATCTGCAAGCAAACGATTCTCTAGCGTGCAGCATGCCCTTATAGTGTGCTGCGGCGCCTACCAGGCTGTTCTTCAAACTAGGACCATGTTTGCGAGGTGTCAATGTAGTGAGGTTCAACCAATCATCTATCGAGTCTTCATACTCAAACCAGGATGTTAAACCATCGAGCGCAGGTGCGATCTTTGGAAGCTGAGAGGTCTCCGGAACCTGTGCTGCATACGCATCTGGTCTGCGATACCCTGCCGCTAAGGCGGCGTCTGGGTTTGCTGGAGCTTGATAATATGTAGCGCTAACATCTGGAAAATAATCTCATTCACGGCCTTCTTCTGAACTTTCACTATCGCTATTATGCGTCGGCTGTGGCGGCTCTACTCATACTCCCTAGAAGTGAATGAGCGGCTGTTTTCACACGCATGTACCTTGAGCCAAATGTTTTGGCAAGTCTTGAGGAAGAGCATATCACTAACAGGAACCAAGTTGAAGCAACAGCGTAAACAGGATGCCCAAAAAACAGAAAAGAGGGGGAGGGGGGGTCTACACATGAATGATTCACTGGGTAGGTCATTCCATCCCCCAGCCAATGACTTGCTAAAGCAAGAGTAACTCCAGCTAGTTGACGCTAGCTTTCGTGATATCCTCATCCATCATGGAGTTCGCGGCAGCTTCTACGATGTCCGACTGCTCTTTTGGGTCTTCAATCTCCGGCATTTTGGTCTGAACATACTTCCTGATTGGGTTCCGGCACATTTGCATTCCACTAAAACAACATGTCATGCGCTGCAAGATCTTGATAGGACTCAGCTATTTCAGCCAGCCACAATGTCAAAAGCCGCATGTGTTTGGCTCCAAGAATTCCCCTTTCCAGGAAGTATTCAAAGTAGTGCACAAGCCCCACACCTAGGCTCGGGTGTGTGAGAAACCAACTTTACTGTGCCTGTGAATCAATGACGCTCAATGTGTCGTTGCAGCCACGACTCTATCAAGAATTGTTGCCACTTGTAGGAAGCTCATCTTGATAATTTCCCACATCCTCTCAAATTCAGAAGCCACTTCAGCATCCACAGCAAAGACCGGCGTCTGACACCATGACGCGCTGACCTGCTTGACCCCCAAGCCTGTCATCATCGCTGAGTCCATCCAATTGCTCATCGTGCCAAAAGAGGCCTTCGCGGATCAACTGGTGTTCACGCTGCTCGTCTAGCGATTTCTCCCATGCGAGCCCATTCTTCCTTGGTGAAGGATCAGCATGCATAAAGGACTCTACTAGAGGTCTTCTCCTATCCACATCTCTTTCTCAAATGCATCCTTCTCTAGGCCCTCCTTTTCTGTCAAGGCGGCCATTTTACTTTGTCCTCATCATTCAGCTCAACCGCAGGTGTTTTGGAGTCGATTGGAGGCATCTGACGCCCAATGGCTCACCGCGTGAGCCAATGTTCGCGCATCAAGAGGCAGTTTCCCGAGGGCAAAGTGAAAAGGCAATTTGCCGTAGAGTCTTGCAGCAGAGATGGATTTCCTGCCCACAGTATAGCTTCCTGAGCCCTCTCAGCGGACATGCGCTGATCTCGCATGATTTTGAGCCGTGTTTGCCGTTTCAATTCTCACAGCAAGACTTTTGCAACAGAAGCACTCACAATCTGAGGCCTGAGTTGCTGCGAGGAAAGTTCCCACGTCAGAACTTAGGCTTTCGACGCCTGGGCGAGCTGTCGCATGAATCCACACTGCCACAAGAATCTAGGATCCAGTTTGAATACAAAATACAAAATACGGTATGAACATTCAAACCTTCAAACCTTCAAACGCCATGACGCGTCAGACGCAGCTTCGTTCGCTCGGTAGCAGACGGCCATCCATGGACAGGATATCAGATCTCATCTGCTGGTTCAAGACCTCTTCGTCCGCCTCAGCGAAATTCGCTTCTTTACGAACAAAGGACCAGTGGCTCTTGTAAACAAAGGACAAATCAACTTGACTGCCAGTTCACGCAATGCTGCATGTTTGATTGAAATGTCAATCTTGTCCGATAGTACATTCTGTATATTACAGGGGAAAAATGCAACTTGCATTGCTTGCGTAACGAGTAGTAGTGTAGTGTGCACTGCCCAATCAGCACTAGGCCCTATGATGAAGACTCTGGAGAAGGCTCCCGCCAAATGGTCCGCCAACAGCTTGGTGAGACGTTCTAATGCCTGGCTCAGGCGGCGCAGTTCAGGGAGAGCCGCGCAAAGCGGTCCACAGGCCTCTCGCTGAGAGGCGCGGTCGACAAAGCGTGCCTCTTCGGCCAAAGCCTCACGACAAAGCGACACGACGCCTGAACGACATCACCAGATGGAGGCCACACAAGCTATGGAAGCAAAGAAAACCGTGCAAAGAAGAATAGGAGAATGGGACGGAAGTACGACGGGACACAACATTATGGAGATGTTCCATCAAAACAAGACTTGCATCTAATGTTGCTTTGCAAAAGACCATTGGCAAACAATGAACTTGAGGAGACGGGGGCGGACGAAAGGTAGC